GGAATTTTCTCCCCTCCCTGAGTTTGGTAACTACCAAATATGTATGAACAATATTTACTTGTAAAAAGTGTCCCTATGTCCACCTGTATAGATTTTGAAATGTTTGTTACTTTGATGACATCCTTTCTATTCTGTACTTTGAATTAACTCACACAGTAACATGCCTTTGTAATTATCTTTTAGATTTCATGTTCATGTCAGTTGAAGTTATTCAAAAGCTATAAATATAAATTGTATACCCATCAGTTCAAGCTATCATGTTCTCCTTGATTACTTATATTGGCTACAGTCAAGTAGAAACATGACTAAAAATTTTAAGTAGAACAGCCAAACAACAGTAATTTTCTATTTTATTGATGTGTGAATTTTGAAGCATTTTTTTTCTAGAAATGTTCAAATATCTCTTCAAGTATCTTACTCACCTTCTATCAAAACAATACCTGTGTTTTCTGAAATGTTGTCAAAATAGATATTTTACTACCAACGTAAACTGTCCTGACCAGTTATGATTTTATTGAATAGAAATTCTTGTTTTCTCACTACTTGGGATAAAAATGTGTTACTAATGGGTCACAGGGGAGAGGGCATTTGAATATAAACTACTCTCTTTTTCATATTATGAGGCAAGATTGTCTTCTGTCTTAACAGAAGGCTTCTTTGTTCTAGAATATTGACAAGTCTTAAAAACCAGCTGTAGGTAGTTACAGGGGAGAGAAAAATAATTTTATCTCTACCCTTCTGAGTTCTTACCTGAGACTCCTGTAATAAAACGCAGTTAACAAGAGAAAAACAAATGTATTCCCATGTATATCTCATGTGCATATGGAAGGTACCCAGGGAAGAAGGAGGGCAGCCAAGGACATGGCCATAGAATTCGGGATTCGACACCGAATCCCAGGTGGGTGTGGGCTGCTAGAGGGGAGAGAGTGATTTTTAGAAAAGATGAGGGACCCTTAGAATGGGAGGAGGGGAGTCTGTGAGAAAGTTTGACGGGCGTGGTGTCTACGTCTAGGCTCCTCCTGTGGTAAGAGCCCATCTTTCCTAGCTGATGGCCCTCCCAGGGAGAGCATTAATGATAGCTGAGCTCCTTTTAGGGATTCTGTAGGCAGATCAGTGGAGTTCAGAAAAGTCTCAAGTTAGTTTTGGTAATTGATATTTTCTTATAAAGTCCATGTTATCTGAAGTTTTAGGTTTATTGGTACATTGCATACAATACAATTCTAAAGCCTTCACATAACTAACTAGTTTTATGTAGTCTGATATATACACATACATATACATATATGTGTGTGTGTATATATATATATATATATATATATTCGAGAGAGGGTAGAGAGAAACAGAGGGGAAGAGAACCTCTCTTGCAATTACTTAACTTTAGTGTTAGGGCAGTAGCCATATACAATATGTAAAAGAATGAACATGGCTATGTTGCAATAAAACTTCCTTCTGGACCCAGAGTTTTAGATTTCATATAATTTTCATGTATCATAAAGTTTTTTTTTTGATTATTTTCAGCCCTTTAAAAATATAAAATCCATCTTTAGTTTATAGGCTATACAAAAATAGATGGTGGACTGAATTTGCCAACTTGTATTCTACCTGATTTTTCTCTTTCAGATAGACGTATTAAAGTTTTCATTATGATTATGGATTCATTTCTCCACTTATTTTTAATAGTTTTTCTTCATATGAGACATACTGTTAAATGTATAAGCTTTTGTGATTATTTTATCTTTTTGGCAAATTTTGCCTTTTACCAATATAAAACTTTCTCATTCTCATTTAATACCTTTTTTGTGGGGGAGGAGGCGGCTGAACTTTGATTTCCAAGAATGATATTGCCCCTCCTGCTTCTTTTCTGTTCATGTTAGCCAGTGTTGTGTAAGAGCATAGTGTCCAAACCATGATAACTACTGATCCACAATAAAACAAAAGAAAACATTAACTTTTATATTGGCCTTGATTTTCAGTAACTTTTAGTGTGGAAGTTTTAAGGCAGTTGCACTTGGCTACCTTCCTTCTTCCATGTGTTAATGTTCCAAAGCTAAGAGTGCTACCAAGAAGTGTAAAGTACACACTTGTGTGTACTAGAGTTCCGTTTGTGTCACTGTCAGGGAAAAGGCAGCCCTCCTCCCCTGCCCCCAGCTGCTTTTGGGAACAGTGCTTGGAACCAAATAGGTAATTGGTACTAGTAAGATTTTGTAACTTCTCTTCAGCCTGCCAGATGTGTAATTAAGAGGAGACCATTTCTGTTTTATAAATAAAGGGGAAGACACCTTTAACGTGCTGAAGCATTAAATCGGCAGCGTTTGAAGAATAACCTCTGTGAGACTGTAATGTGGAAATGTGAGGAAGGACCGATTTGAACATAATCTAACTCTCTTCTTACTCTTTAGTCCATGTGTTAGAACTTAAAAAAATAAGTCGTTCCAGGGTAGAGACCCCGTTTTTTCCATGTGTAGTACAAAACAATCCTGTGTTGTTGCTGTGAGATTCTCTTTTAGCCTTGTCAGGATTGGAGCCTGAACTGCTGTGAATTATAATAAAAACAAATTTTCATCAGTTGTTCCTTTTCTATATGTCTTTTAGTAGTGAAGCATTGTGGATAGGTACAGTGCTAAGGTACAGTGGCTGCCTTGCTGTTTGAGACTTCTCACTATGATTTAAAAAAATGTTGCTCTAGGTACTTCACATTGCATTCTACAACTTCATTTAAGATAGCATACAGCATGGCCTCATTTTAAAAGCCATAGAAAGTAAAATGTCTCCATAATTGTCATTTTTAGTGATAGGCAGATATAAACCACTGTTTAAAAATACTTTTAAGTCCACCTGCAGCATTTGGTTGGTGGTTAGGTTTCATTCTTCTTTTTTATTTTTTAAATCCTCACCCAAGGATATATTTTTTCCATTGCTTTTCAGAGATAGTGTAAGGGGAGAGAGAGAGAGAAATATCAATGAGAGAGACACATATCAATTGGTTGCCTCCCACACTCGCCAACCCGGGCCGGGAACGAGCCTATAACTGAGGTATGTGCCCTTGGCCAGAATTGAACCTGGGACCCTTCAGTCCACAGGCCAATGTTCTAACCACTGAGCACAACCGGCCAGGGCACATTCTTTTTTTAAAAACTCTTTTATGAATTAGGGTTGAAGATTAGTAAGGAAGACTATCGTACTGCTGATTGGGTAATTCTTTGTATTTACATCTTTTTTTTTTTTTTTTAATTCTCACCGGAGGATATTTTTTCCATTGCTTTTACAGAGAGAGTGGGAGGTAGGGAGGGAGGGGGAGAGAGAGAGAGAGAGAGAGAGAGAGAGAGAGAAACATCAATGTGAGAGAGACACCTAGATTGGTTGCCTCCCGCTTGTGCCCCTACCGGGGTGAGCCTGTAACCAAGGCCTGTGCCCTTGGCTGGAATCGAACCTGGGACCCTTGGTCCACAGGTTGATGCTCTAACCACTGTTCCAAACTGGCTAGGGCTGTATTTGCATCTTAACTACAAGGAAAATTTCCTTTTTCTTTATTCCTGACAATTATGTACTCTGTAGTCACCTAGTTTCTTCTTAGTCTGTTCATCTTGTCCTGTCTTTCTTCTGCCCCAAACATCCTGTTCTAGTATTGCTTGACAATCACCTTAAAGGGTTTTAATCTGTGACTAGCTGATATCACACAATTAGTGGTTTTTTTCAGAACTAAGTCTTGTCGGTAGCATCTTTGAAAAAACAAAGGATAAAAATATTGCTGCACATTTGAATTCTTTTCAGGTTGCTTTGTGGTGTTTAAATAGCATCATTTAGCTTGTCAAGGAATTTATATTTCTGCTTGATATACCAATGTATTAGTTTCCTGGAGTTGCCATAACAAAGAACACAAACCAGGTAACTTAAACAACAGAAATTTATTGTCCCACAGTTCTGGAGGTTTGAAATCCAAAATCAAGGTGTCATCTGAGTTGATTCCTTCTAAGGGCTGTGAAGGAAGAATTTCTTTTCCAGGCCAAGCTTCTGGTACTTTGCTGGCAATCTTTTGTTTTCCTTAGCTTGTACATACATCACTCCAATCTCTGCTTTCATCTTCACATGTTGAGAATTTCTCTCCTGTCTGTGCATGTGCATGTCTGTGGTCAGATTTCCCCTTTTCATGGGACATTAGTCACATTGGATTAGGGCCGACCCTAATGACTTCATGTTAACTTGGCTGTATCTGCAAAGACCCTATTTCCACATAAGGCTACATTCTGAGGTGCTGGGGGTTAGGACTTCAACACATCTTTTTGACGAGACACAGTTCAACCCTTTCTACCAGTATTAAATTTTTGTTTCAATGATAGAAGTTTGAGGGTATCTGTCGTATTGGTTTTTATTGTCATTGATTTGTTTTAAATATCTCAAAATTTTCTTAAATTCTAAGAATTCTTTTTTCTAAATGATACCATTTACACTGGAAGCCAGTAATCATCTAGATTGTCTGCTTAATAATCATAGCTTCTATGGATATATTTACTACTTTGTGCAAACACTTCAGCTTTTGAAATTTTAATGTAATTAAATGATGCAATGAATGATAATTTGAAATTTGAGTGCTACAGATACTGTTTTTATTTCCTTTTGGAAACCCTTCTGGTAATGTTTGTCTAGTCTAGCCATTGTACATTCTTTTATTGCCCTTCTTCGTCAGGAAATGATTAATCTTTTTCCAGAAAGCTTCCACAACATAATGAGAACAAGGTCTTATACATAGTATTCTAATAAGCCAGGTTAAGTGTTCTCTTGTCACCAGTTCTTCATTAGACTTGTACCTTTACTTTGGAATTTCTTTGAGGATTTTCAAGTTATGTTATATTCGCAAGTGTGATTTCAGATAGTCTTCAAAAATATTCAAAGGCAGAGTTCTGTCTCTTTTTAATGAAAATCATTGGGAAAATACTAGATGGTATATAAATATTTCCTTTAGACGCTTTTAGAATACTAACAGTATAAACATGTTTGTGCAGGTTTTGGCTGGATCATCTCGTCAAAGTTACTCACCTTCTGGCTATCGGGATTTCACAAAGTGGGAATCGGTGCTGAAAATAAAAGAAGGATTACTAAGGCAAAAAGAAATTGTAATTGATCGGTGAGTCTGTTTTTTTAAAATTACTGTACTAAATATTGCAGACATACAGAAATGTAGATTTAAAAAAATACCTTTGTATCCACTATGTAGAGTTTAAAAAAAAAGAACATAATAAACTGATGAACAAAATAGATTCAGGGAGAGATTAAAGAATCTATATGCGTATATGCATAACCCATGGACACAGACAGTAATATGGTGAAGGCCTGGGACAGAGTGGGTGTGGGGTGGGAGGGATCAATGGGGAAAAAGAGGGACATCTGTAATATTTTGAACAATAAAAAAAATAATAATTATATTCACCTGAAAAAAAAATAGAACCATGCAAATACACTGATGTCTCACGTCTACCCTTCCCCAGTCTCAGTCCCTTTAAGAACCTCACTCAGAACTGAGGGTTGGTTGGCGGGTCAGTCTGTCTGTCTTCTACCATCCTCCCATTTACATTAGAGTAATTCATTATTTGGAAACTCATTTTTGTATATGTTGCAAGTAAGCTGCAATGCTAATGAGCTGTCAAAGCTGCAAGATAATGTCTGTATTTTATACTTATGAAATATCAAATTGGAAAGTTGCTTTAACATAATTTCCTTTAACTAATGTATGTTAGATTTGAAGACACAGAAACTATGAAAATCATGAATGTTTAAATGACTTACAGATAAGAATTTTGGGTATTGAGGCAGACATTCCAAAAATTTTGCATATTTGAGTACTAAAGCTCTGAAAAAAAGGTTCTACTATTAACAGTTTTCTGATTATTTTGAGCAATAAGCCTAATATTACTTAATTATATTATCTGTGATATATATTGGGTCTTTGTCTTTTATGCATACTTTTGAGATAATTAAGCATGTTCTGTATCATGGAAATTGGGAAATAGTTTGAGGAGGTATTTAATCAATGCTAGTTACACTTATTTTCATATGCTTATATGGGATAAAGTAGTAGACATTTTAGCCTTAAAATTAAACCCTAACTGAAACCTTTATGTTTAAGAGTTGAACTTTCAAAAGATTTTGCTTAGAAAGTAAAGACCTACTGGAATATGAACTAGAGCACAGACATCTGGACTTTCTTATTTTTACCATTTTCTCTGCTATCTTGAACACAACCTGACACGTAGTTTATGCTTAATGCTTGATATGTCCATACTTTACAAGTGAATGAAGATGTAGAAGACAGTTTTAATTGATTTTATGAAAAAGCTTTTGAAAATATTTGCTTTTTCTAATACAAGTGAATTTTATATCTGAGTAATTATAGATCCAGTTGGGTTTACATTTTGAACACTTATGATTCAATTCATTGTACAGCCTTGAAATTAATACTTTTAATTTTATTTTTAAAAATTTATTTTTTAGTTATAGTTGACATACAATATGATATTAGTTTTAGGTGTGCAACATAGTGATTAGACAGTTTTATACTTTATGAAGTGATCACCTTGATAAGTCTAGTTATTACAATATTACCATTCATAGTTATTACATACAGAGTTATTACAGTATTATTGACTATATTCCCTGTGCTGCACTTTTTAAAAACAGATAAAAATTCAGACCTTTATTAATATGGATATACTGTTCTTCAGACAGTCAGAATCAATGGACTTTTATTATTTTTTGAACAATATTATAATTAGCATTTTATTGGGTATAAATTAATAGGTGTCTTAGTCCATTTGGGCTGCTATAACAAACTACCGCAGACTGGGTGGCTTATAAACAACAGAATTTTATTTCTCCCAGTTATGGAGACTGGGAAGCTCAAGATCAAGTCACCAGCAGACTCAGTGTCTGGTGAGAGCCAACCAACTTCCTGATTCATAGATGGCCATCTTCTTCCTATGCCTCATAATTGTGAAAGGGCCTGGGATAAGGATACTTACCCTGGGACCTCTTTGATGAGGATAATAATTGCATTCTTGAAGCTTCTGCCCTTACGACCTATTACCTCCCAAAGGCCCCCATCTAATTATACCATCAAATTGGGCATTGGGACTTAAGGTATGAATTTTGGGGAGACACAAACATTCTGTGACAGTAGGGAATACAGATAATTCTTGATGTAATCTATTAAAATAATATAGATTTTATTTTGTATGTTGTAGAAGGATATCCAGGAAATAATACAAAGCCCTTCAAGTTGCTCAGTTTCCTGTTATGAATTTTAAGATTGATAATACTTTTAACTCTTATGTCAAATTATTAAAATACTAAAAATTCTGCTTTTAACTGTCTCTTAGAAATGTATATTTTTTATACCATTACTTCAATTTATGTTTTGCAGGCAGAAGCAACAAATTACCCACCTGCATGAGCAGATAAGGGATAATGAATTACGGGCACAACATGCCATGTTAGAACACTACGTAAATTGTGGGGATTCTTATATATCTAGTTTGCAGGTAAGATTACAGAGAATTTCATAGTAGTTTTATTAATAAAGCATCTTAATTTTATACTTAGCTTCTAAGATTAGGACATTTTTTGAATTAATAACCCTTTCACCTGGTTCATATTTATATATATAGTAAAAGATATCCAAGTACTGCCCCCCATCTATCTGTTCAGTTCACACCCCCACATACACAGGAATTACTGCTTTCAATTTCTATTACGTTCTTCCAGAGTTGATGTATATCACTAACGTATGTAAATGTGTTTTATCCTCTAACTTTAACAAAAGTATAAAAATACATACATTATTTGGCACTTCGTTTTTTCTTTATCAGACTTTGAGATTTTGCCCTTCTAATACGTTTACATAAAGTGTGGGGTGGAAGAGTTATCTTCATACTTTTTTCCTTTTTTGCGTGTGTTAAGATACATATAAAATTTACCATCTTCCATCTTAACCATTTTTAAGTGTACAGTTCAGTGGTATTAAATAAGTACATTCCTAATACTGTAAACCACCATCTATCTCTATAGCACATTACATCTTATAAAAGCTGAAACTCGTATCCATTAGACAGTACCTCCGTGTTCTTCGCCCCAGTCGCTGACAATCACCGTCTGCTTCCTGCTTCTATGATTATTCTAAGTATCTCGTTATGTGGAATCATACAATATTGATCTGCTTGTGGCTGGCTCATTTCTCTTGGCATAATGTTCTCACAGTTCATTCATGTTTAAGCATGTGTCAGAATTTCCTTTCTTTTTAAAGCTGTTGTATGTATACCACATTTTGCTTATCTGTTTGTGTCAGTGGATAGTTGGGTGGCTTCCATATTTAGCTACAGTGAAGAATGTTGCCATTAACATATTATTTGAACATGGGTGTATAAATATCTCTTTGAGACCCTGCTTTCAGTTCTTTCCAGTATGTAACCAGAAATGGAATTGATAGATCATATCATATGGTAATTCTATTTTTAATTTTTTTGAGGAACTGCCATGTTTTCCACAGTGGCTATATCATTTTACATTCCCACCAACAGTGCACAAGGGTACATTTTCTTCACATTGTTGCCAACACTTGTTGTTTTCTGTTCTTTGATAATAGCCATACTAATGGATGTGAAGTGGTATCTGATTGTAGTTCTGATTTGCATTTCCCTAGTGATGATAATATTGAGTATCTATTCATATGCTTATTGGTCATTTGTATACAGACATACCTCAGATATTATGAGTTTGGTTCCAGGCCCCCACAATAAAGTGAATACTTCAGTAAAGCTCATTACCAGTAAACCAATGAATTTTTTGGTTTCCCAGTGAATATAAATGTTATGTTTACACCATACTGTAGTCTGTTAAGTGTGCAACAGCATTATGTGTTCAAAAACAACGCGCATACCTTAATTAAAAAATTTTATCGCTAAGAAATGCTAATCATCATCTGAGCCTGTTGGGAAAATGGTGTGGATAGACGTGCTCAACACAGGGTTGTCACAAACCATCATTATGTAAAAAAATGCAGTAGCTGCCAAGTGCAACAGTAAGCATGATACAATGAGGTGTGCCTGTATCTCTGCATCTTCTTTGGAGAGATGTCTGTTCAAAACCTCTGCCCTTTTTTAAATTCAGTTGTTTGTCTTTTTGTGTTCAGTTTTGGAAGTTCTCTATGTATTCTGGATATGAATTCTTCATTAGATATACAATTTGCAAATATTTTTTTCATTCCAAGTTGCCTTTTTACTCTGTTGATAGTGTCTTTTCATGTACAAGATATTTTAATTTTCATGAAGTCCAGTTTATCTTCGTTTTTGCCTGTGCCTTGGTGTCTGTTCAGTAAATTATTGCCAAATCCACTGACATGAAACTTTTGCTATGCACTTTCTTCTAAGAGTTTTACAGGTTTAGGTCTCACATTTAGGTTGTGATACATTTCAAGTTATTTTTTTATATATGATATTAGATAAGGGTCTATTTTCTCTTCTTCGCATGTGGATAATCCAGTTTTCCCAGAACAATTTGTTGAAAAAACTCTCTTCCCCATTGAATCTTCTTGGCACCTTGTCAAAAAACATTTCATTGTGTATGCAAGGGTTTATTTCTCATAACAGTATTTTAATAGAGCCATGCTGTTTCTCCTTGTAATTTTATTATTCTGAATAAAAGTTTTACTTGAATTATACAATTATTATTATATAACCAGGAACATGTAAAATTTAATGTGTTTCTGAAAGCTGAAGAAAATGCTTTTTGACACAGCATCAGGCCAGTAGAGGGCTCTCCAAGCCAGTCAGCAAGGACAGATGTGCAAGGATATGGGAGAGGGACTAGGCTACTAAAATATCAGAAGGATTTTAAATTATGTGGATAATTAAAATATTGTTGATAAATTTGATTTTAAAAGATTAGGGAAGTTAAAAGGGGGAAGTATTACATGGATAGATATAGAGAGCTGATTAAATGGCAGGGGTTTGAAGAAACAACAGATATGATGATAAAACATTTCTTTAGCAAAGGAATTTCTACCTTGGATCTATGAACAACATCAGTTTTAATGCACAGCATTTTATATGCACATTTTAGGGTTCATAGCTTATTTGTCCTAATTACATAACACATTAAACAAAGAAAGTAATACCTTTAATATTCTGTATATTCTAGGTTAAATAAAGCAAATTTTTGAAATAAAATAACATTCTTTTATTAATTTATAGATGAAAGACATGTTCTTGAAAAGAACTTCTATTTTCCCGTCAAGAACTTTTAATAAACTTATAATCATGATGTCCTGAGACATAGACATCACCAAGTCTCATAGGTAGAAAATGAAGAGTAGGTTTATTCTAAAATTCAAACTTTCTGAATTGTTTTAGTGGTAGAATTGGTAGAACCAAAGAGTGATTTGTACTATAACGCCTTATACCAAAATTTCAACCTGTGGTTAACAGGAGTTCATGGAAAACATAAAAACAAAATGTGGACTCTTTTTTCTTTTGTTAAAGACTGACGAAGAAACACTGGGCTAAATACCAGGGAATTTATATTACTTTCCTGTTCTAGAACCATCATAGGCTTTCCATTTCCTACAAATTAGGTTAAACTCTGAGCCTGTGATTCTATAATATGATCCACTTAGATTTTTATTTTTTTTATTTTTTAAAAATATATCTTTATTGATTTCAGAGAGAGGAAAGGAGACGGAGAGAGATAGAAACATCAATGATGAGAGAGTCATTGATCAGCTGTGAGCCCGCAACCTGGGCATGTGCCCTGACCTGGAATCGAACCCCGATCGCCTCGATCCTAGGTCGACGCTCAACCGCTGAGCCACGCCTGGCCAGGCTCCACTTAGATTTTTAATACTTAGATTTCTTTATACTCTCTGCTCTTGTAACCTATACATTAGACATGGGTATTCTCTGCATGTATTCCATTTTTTGCCTTTTTAAGATGTTCGGTTTTTTTCTTTTATCAATTCCTGCTAGAATCTTTCCTACTTTTAAAATCTATCTCAAAAGCCAGCCTTTTTTTCTTTCTCCCAATTCTGTCATCATTTATCCTCACACCTCCTGACACTTTGTACTTAAGATGACTTTTCTTTGGCTATAATATTATATTGTGTCCAATATATAATTATATGAGGGTTTCTCTTATGCCTCTAATTGTAATTTGAGTTTATATAAGGGCAGTGCCCACCTTTGTAATCTTTGACATACCCAGTACATGATAAATAATATTTATATGATTTATATGATTTGGATTGCATCTTCACCTTTGGGACAGTCTGAGTTCTTCAAGACCTCATTGAAGATGTGTGTGTGTGTGTGTGTATGTATGCCTGTCTACAAAGCTCTTCCATAGCTACTACACATAAAGCTTTGTACTTTGACAGTTTCTTTCTGTTTTTGTGTGTAACACTTTATTAAACTGGTGGCCAGCTGGAATTTATGCCAAGCTCTGTATGTACCGTATCTACTGTACCTCATTTCCAATTTCTTTTCAATTGTTCAAGACAGTTAACTTTTAATCTTACCTGGGTTTTTTTCCTTTCCTAATAGTCACAATATGAGAACACTTCACTCCAGACTCCATTTCCTGATCAGTCAGTGTCCAGTTCCCAGCAAGAGGAGCTTGAGCAAAAGCTGGCATCTACTGAGAAAGAGGTTTTACAGCTTAATCAGTTTCTCAAACAAAGAATAAGCCAATTTAATGAAGAAAAAAAGAAACTGGAGGAAAAGGTAGGTATTTTTAATAGCGTTAAGTTAGGTCAACAACATTTCTTCAACATACAGGGATGGACCCCATCAGAAGTGCTTAGAACTTAATTGTTGGGGGAAGAAGGGGAGAATAGCGTATGGGCAATGAAGTCATGGTGACAGGGGAGGGGGGCTTGCCTGTCAATCTAGCCTGAGGAACAAAGGACTAAAGAAAGACTATTGAAGATGTCAGTGGGTGCATGATGAAGCCAGTTCCTAAGAGAAATGGGGAAAGGTGGATAACAGACACCAAGGTGGAAGAGGTACTCTTGGAAAGAAAGAAAGGAATGGCCTCTCTGTGGAGTGAAGCAATTAAAGATGGAAATGTCTGTGCCAGGGAAGCTTGAGGAAGGGGTGAATGGAGAGGGTGGGGCAGCGTGGAGATGACTTGAGTTTCTGAGGGGAGTGTAGAAGCTAAAAATAGACCCACTAACTGCACAGCACTTTGGACCCACAGGAGATTGGATCTAATTGTTTTCTTCCTCATTTATTCTCCGTAATGATGGTCAAGACTGACTATTTTGGAGACAGAAAATCATTTAATGTGATGATAATAAGCATCATAATAAAATAAGTTACTTTTTAATGAGCTCTTTCTTATGTGTGCATGAGATGCATTTCTTATTTAATCCTAATCTTCAGAAAACCCTATGAGATTTATACTATGCCCCCGTTTTTAAAAATGAGGTAACAGCCCTAGCCAATTTTTTCAGTGGTTAGAACATCAGCCCATGGACTGAAGGGTCCTGGGTTTGATTCCGGCCAAGGGCACGTGCCTCGGTTTCAGGCTCAATCCCCGGCCCCTGTCAGAGCGCGTGTGGGAGGCAAGCAATGGATGTCTCTCCTCCCACCCCCTTCCACACACTCTGAAAGGCAATGGGAAAAATATCCTTGGGAGAGATTAAAAAAAATTAAAATGAGGTAACTGAAGCTTTGAGAAAAGTAATTTGAGTAATTTGTCTAGTTGCATGTAGATAGAAATTGTGGGAAAACTAGGAGTAAAATTCAAGACAATTTAGCTCCACAGCTGATGCTTTGGTTCTAATAATGATTAATAAAAAATTTAGAAAAATACATTCCCTCACTAATCTCTTTTAACTATTGTATTTAAAATAAAGAAAAAGAAATTTGTTTGTTAACCTCTTCTAAAACAGGGCTGAACCTCCTGTTGCCTCTAAACGTGGTCTTAGTGTTGTGTAACACTTCCTGGAAAGAAAAATACTTTTATAAATAGAATAGGAAAGATTAGTGATGCCTCATTTACCTGGGGATCGCTATTGGAGTTCAAACTTCAGTAACCTATGTTAACCAGAAACAACACAAAACTTTGAAGTTAAAAAACAAAACAATAACAAAGAGTTTCTCATTAGTGAGCAGGGCTGGAAAAAAACGAAGACCCAGTGGTTATGGGTTACCAGCGGTCAACAGATAACAGAGGTGGTATCTAGTATAGGAGAGTGTTGGCAGAGATTTGTGATCAAGGGCAGCAAGCTTGGTGTCATAGCAGAGAAGGCAGTTGACCAACCAAAGAAAACGAAGGAAGTGAGGACATCTTTGCATTGCAGAAGACAATGACTGACCCAGTCCAGCAGCTGCTTTGTGAGGACAGCATTGTGTCACATTTAAGACACTTCAAATTAAGTGTAAATTTGGGAACATTTAGTAAAAATAGACTGGTTAGCTATGTTTACTTCTATGACTTAAACGGTTATTTGCTAAGGCAGGAACAGGCTTTGCTGATGTGCAGTCCAGGCACAGCTGGTTGCTACCACATTTATGGGAACCTGGTTATTAGTATTGCAGATCTGAAAGTATACTTGGCTTTAATGTCCTGTCAGACAACCTGTGCTCAAATCCCAGCTCTGTCTCTGAGACTTGTAGTTAAGTCACTAACGACCTCTAGGACTCACATTCAGAAGGTGAATTGTACTGTATAGTCTTTCAGGTCCCCTCAGTGCCTGCAGTCTGTGAGTTGTAATAGATCACAAGTTAAGTTGTCATAGCAGCAGCATCCTTGCCTTTAATCCTGAGAAAGCCCCACTAAATAATAAGATTTTTCTGTTTTGCCAGTTTTGCTTCTTACCCAAGGTAATAAATGGATACTGATGGAATAAATGAGATGTGATTCGTTTTTCCAATTGAAGTTATTTTAATAAAATTTGTTATACATTGAACTTGAAAGAAATTAGATAAGGCATGAAAGAAACTAAATTGTGGACAAGTGTTAGCTTTATTAAAATTTGAAAGGACTACTCCATTATACCTCTAATTACTGGCATTTATTTCCCTGGTGAACATGGAAAAGGCTGTAAAAAATATTTTAGAACCCTGTAAATTTCTAAAAGAATGTTAAATGTTTGGAAGACTGGTGATTTAAAGTAAATATGAGTCTGGAGTTCACTTTTTAGGCTACTATATATGCATATTGTTTTTAATTGATCTTAAGTATGAAAGAGCTTTGCATATAAGATGATATTTAAAGAGTATATTTCACTTGCAAAGGTGAAAAAAGTTACTACTACATAGAAATCTGAGGTCTGGCCTACACAAATTGGGATTTTCTAGTATCATGGACTCTCTGTGTTCTATAGTAGGTGCTCATCAATACTAAAATGACATTAATGGTAAGGCACACCTTTATTTTATGTAATTTTTAGAATATAGGCTGCAAGCTTAATTATGCCCCAGTGCCTTAATAATGGTCTTCCTTGAGGTGTGGTTTCGTCTGGCTAGTCCCCTTACCAGTTCCTAAGTATCTGATTATTTTAGTCAGTCCTCCTAGCTTTGATTGCATTGCTATAGTCCATGATAAGCAATTCCTTTGCAAGTTTGTTAGTAACAGAATAGCTTTAATTATTTGTAGGCATCTTCCTTTTTTAATTCTCATAAAACATTTGAATCTAGCTTTGCAAGAAATAAGATTGGACTCATTCCTGCAGAGAATGACTTGCTTCACTGACTTTGAAATTATACCTCACTGCTCTGTTTCTGTGTCATGCTGAAGACCCGATAACTTTTTTCAATGCCAAATTATAATGTAACATTTTAGAAGGTATTTTAAACATTATTTAAACTCAACACGTAGTTTCAACATGTACATAACACTGTTGAAATGCCAAAGATAAGAATAGCCTTGATCAAATTTGCACATATGCAAGCATTAAAAACTATATTAAATAAATACAATAAAAACTTTTATTACTGCTACCTGGCTGACTGCAGTTTATAGGATGCCATCAGCTGTAAATGAAAACAAAAATTTCAAAAACTTGATTTCAGTGATATGAAAATTTGAAAAAATGTGAATATTAGAGTTGATGAAATAATGTAAATCGTACGTGTGTTGGTGGTGGTATGAACTATAACGCAGAACTGTTGGAGAATTCAGTGATGCCTAAGATTAGAATGTTTGTTTTGTTACTATTTTTTAATGACACAAAACCACTGAATATTTATAATCTTTTTTATAGCTTAAAACCAGAGATAGATACATCAGTAGCCTGAAAAAGAAATGCCAGAGGGAATCTGAACAAAACAAAGAAAAGCAGAGAAGAATTGAGACCTTGGAAAAGTATCTGGCTGATCTTCCAACTCTGGATGATGTACAGAGTCAGAGTCTACAGGTAAATGAAATGCTTGTCTTTAAATGACATGAGAAACATATTTTAACTTAATGTTTTAGAAATTTAATAATTTTTATAATCTAAAATTTTAGTTATATATTTGTCTAATTACAAGTTAAATCTGCATATTGCTGTTTTTAGGATTAACTTTAATTAGAAACTGTTCAACTAATCATGAGTAGATCTCTCTTGTTGTTGATTAATGTTACCTTCCCAATTAACCTATGTGTTAACTCTCTCACCTAACGTTCTACTCTGAAAGGTAGTTTCTAAACCAGTCTGACACACCTACCCCGTACACACATTCATGCACCACAGTCTGATTTTTCCCAACATTCTCTGGAATCCATCCACCAAGATTCAACAAGACCCTTTTTTACTAACTTTCCAGATATTTGATATGTGTTGTTCATTAATTTTTTCACAAATTCTTTCTTATACTTTATGATCTCCATTTACTCCTTCAACTCCTTTTCTGACCATTTTCCTTTCTTAATACCCCATCCAAAGTCTTTCTACCAATTCTGGGGCCTGTCCTCTTGAAGCCTTATTTATGAACCACCTACCTTCAGTCTTTTTCTGAGGCTCTGATCAGGGGGTTTTTATCCTTGGCACCATTGGCATTGGGGCAGGTCTCCTTGTTGTCGGGCCCTGCCCCGGGTGTCACAGGGCACTACCAGCATTTCTGTCTTCCAGCTGCCAGATGCCAATGGCACCACTTTGTTCCCCCCTTCCCACCAAACCAAAATGTCTGCAGGCACTCTGAGATGTTGAATGCCCTCTGGGAGGAAAAACTGCCCCCATTGAAATCACTGGGTCTAATCCATGTGGTGCCATTATTCTGCTGACTCTAGACCTACGACACATTCCCTGTTTAAAGTAATTCATGATTTGTAAAACTAAGAGAGGGTAACTAGAGGAGGAGGACAGGTGTTTGCATGAGCAGGAATACCAAGGAATGCAGATTTAAAAACGGGTTTATACCGCCTTATGTACCCCGTTAGGATGGCTAATGTAACAAAGGAAAGTAGCAAGTGTTGGCGACAGCAATGTGGAGAGTTAGATTCCGTATATACTGTTGGTCAGAATGTTAAATGGTGTTAAGCTGCTATGGGAAATATTGATAATTCCTCAAAAAATTAAAAATATAATTACCATACAATCCATCAATTCCACTTCCGTGTATATACCCAAAAGAATTAAAAGCAGCAGGATCTCAAACAGATGTTTGTAAATGATGCATGTTCATAACATTATAAGGGTGGAGGCAGCCCAGTGTCCACCAATGGAGAGATGGATAAATAAAATGTGACATGTACACAGTATTTAGCTTTAAAAGGGAAGGAATTCTGACACATACTACAAGATGGCTGACCTTGAGGACAGTTTTCTAAGTGAAATAAGCCAGTCACAAAAAGATAAATTTCTATATGTGGTCCCTGGAGTGGTCAAATTCATAGAGACAGAAAGTCAAAGTGTGGTTGCCAGGGGCTGAGGAGGGAAGTGGATGGGGAGTTGTTAATTGGTAGAACGTTTGTTTTGCAAGATGAAGAGAGTTGATGATTAGTTGTATAATAAGTGAACATACTTAACACTACTGAAATGTACAGTTAAAAATGGTTAAAATGGTAAATTTTTTGTATGTATATTTTGCCACAATTAAAAATATAATTTTTTAAAATCTCCAAATTGAGATCATTCACTTTTTCCCTGTCATCTAGTAATTTTTGACTCCATTCTCCTCTTCTCCATAATTCCATTTGCACAGCTTTCTTTACGCAAAGGAGAGAAAGTGTCACGAAGTAGATGAAGTGAAGATAGTGTTACTTTAGCCGCTATGTTAACCCTTGAGAACCACAGTAACAATTTTAGTAGAGGCACATTTAATGTTTTATGTTTTATGAACTTTAAAAAATTTCTTCTTAGCTGCAGGTTCTAGAAGAAAAAAACAAGAATTTGCAAGAGACTTTGATAGATATGGAAAAAAAGCTTGAAGAGAGGGAAAAACAGTGTCAAGAGAAAGAGGCACAGTTAATATGCCAGAAAAAGAAAGAAAAGGAGTTGGTAACTACTGTTCAGAGGTAAGAAAATCTTCAGTAATTTTTTGTTATTTTTAAGTTATTTGTATTTTTCATAAAGCATTTCACTTAAAATACATTAATTCATAACGAATGCTCTTTATTCTTCTTATCTTAAAGACGTACCATTGAGAACCAGAAGTACTATGTCATGAAAGCAGGTTGTCTCAGTTATTTAACATTTTGATGCAACATACTGACATCCTGCCAAAGGCTGAGAAGTAAAAATTCTAAATGACAGAAAGAGGGGCTGCCAAGTGCTCAGACTGCACTCCTTAGTGAGGCACACCCAGTTGAAGTACCTGGCTCCCCTCTCCCCTTGCCGCAGAGGGACAGGTAGGGCCATTTGCCACGCTCCTTCCAAGTTTTCTCATATATCTTGCCTCATGGGACTTTTTCTTTTAAATCACAGCAGTTAGAATTACAGGGAATATCATTTATTAGTATATTTAGCTAATGTGTTAGAGCTGAGAAATCAATACTGGATTCCTGAAAAATCTAGACTCTGTTATGTATGCATATACAGGTACTCTGTGTCTTGTAAAACTTAAACTTAATAGATTATCAATCACAAACAGATAAAATATCCTGAAGATTGAGACAGCAAAGCAACAAGAAACTAAACTTTAGAAATACACTCCTCATGCTTATATCAATCATATATAACTCAGTGTATTCTTAGCTGTTTAATCAAAATCCATCTGACAATTCCATGTTAGTATTGCTTTACTACTTTCAGAGTCTTAAATACACCCAGTCTACTTTTTTTTTTTTTTTTAATTTCAGTGCAGAAAATCCTGATTTCTGGGACAGTTCAATCTTCAGTGCTTCCAACTGAAGCTTCAAAAAAATTCATACACTTTTGACCCTACCTTTACTGTTCTTCTGTTTTCTGCTTTCTTGGTCTTTAATGGAGCTTTTTATAACTCCACGTCTTATATTCTACCTCTTGTTGCAAGATAGCTTTCTGACTTCCGCTAATTCTACCATATATCTTTTTCTTTCATCTTACTGATAAAATGAAAAGAGGTAATGTATCCATTCTCTTTTATAGGACATTATGATTATAAACTCAAGCTGTGTTGTTTTATGAATATAGAATTAGGAACACTAGAAAATAATTTGAATGTTTGTTTTGTTCCATTATGTGCTTTTACATATTTAATATGATTTTATACGTTCTCTTTTATTTAGATTTTCTCTTTTATTAGGTTTTTGGAGAACATAGTATTTTTTTATTTGGAAAGACTTAGTACAGTGCATTTCAGAATACATTTTCCATTCTTAAGTTTATCTTGATGCTCTCTGAGATGAAATTATCTCCAAAAATCTCTCTTGATTTCAAATAGATGCAAAGGACCAAAGAAGGTCTTCTGTAATTCTTCAATACTTGTATGGCTGTGGTGACACCTGACTTTGGGGGCAAGAGTGTTATTTTGGTTTCCTCAGCTATATTCCTTAAGTTCCAGAACTGCAGGTGTATATTTGACTTTGAGTTATATCATTACAGTTTTCTGTTTTGTATAATTTTCTAAATTCCCTGATTTATAAATGCCTAAGAACTTTTGAGATTTCAAAATCAAATAAGAAAAGTTTTCTATTAGAAATGAAAAGTAAGTAAACATGTGGGTGTGATCCCTAGTCATGCAATAGTTGGTACCCTTGCTGATCAAGAGGTTTATTTTCTAAGTGAGCATGCTTTATAACATAAAGAAAATGAGAACAGTTACAGGAAAGAAGACTGACCTGGTATTTTTCCATGACAATACATTTTCCCCTCATAGTTGGCTCATTTTTTAAAATATGAAAGACCTTAAAAGTTTTATTTCTTTGGAATGTTATAAATACATGGTTGTGTCTTGACTGCATTGGGAAAAAACTTACTCTGAGATAGAAATAATGCATTTTTCACTTTTAGACTGAAAAAGCACCTTTTTTTTTATGACAGGTAATATATTATGAAGCAGTACACTACATTGGTAACACATATACCTTCTCTGGTGCCATTATTTACCAACACATCTGAAGCCCGTGTTGTATCATTAGGACTGTCGATTCTTTTTCCACAATCTGAATGTGGTATTTTCTTTTTGGAAATTTTATAAGCATTTATTTGAGCCAGACAGAGGACATTGTCAGGAAGCAAGATTGCAAAAGCTCCTTTTGGGGGGGGACAGAAAACACAGGCTAGCCGTAATACTTGAAAGAAGAAAAATAATGAAAATATCAAAACCCAAATAAGATGAAGTCTTATTTCTTTTAGTACTCTACAGCTCATGAGTATGATCACAGCTAAAGGAGAACGATTCATAGGTGTCTTACTGCTATATTTTGGTTTTGGTCTTTATTATAAATATATAGTCCCTTTTAACCCAAACATGACTATTCTTCCTTTCTCAGGGCCAATACCATCCCCCCATTTATCCTTTTATTCTTAATATACCAGAGGGTCTTTTGTTGTTTCCTCTTCTAAAATGCAATTCTGTTCCATAGATAGCATGAGAAACAGTTAGGTGAAGTAATAAATATATTTACCTTATTAGTAAAGGAGAAATGTAATTGTGCTGATTTAAGCAACAGCTTTCTTTACAAACTTTTCCTGAGGTCAGAATGAAGGACAAAAGATGTGTATTCTTATTCTAGGCTCCCTACCAGTCATCTTAACCAAGTAACTCTGCTTTTGGTGAGGAGAGGGAAAGAAGAGGGCTTAGATTGCAGAGCTCAGATCAGGGTAATGAGAGCCTAAGAATGTCACATACTAAGCAACTTGAGTCTGGTCTCCTTCCTGAAAAGATGGTCAGCCTCCAATATATTTCTTTCTTGAAATACAGGTACTCAAACTTGTTCACATATACTGTCTCAAAGCCTTGATTATTGCTTGATTAAAAAATACCATAGACCCTAAGAAGGGACTTCATTTATGATGAAGTTGTCTTCTACCAAAGTCAGCATATAGAACCTACTTTCTTTATATAATTGTCTTTCTAAAACAGTTTGCAGCAAAAGGTAGAAAGATGCCTTGAAGATGGAATTCGCCTTCCTATGTTAGATGCAAAACAGCTTCAGAATGAAAATGATAACCTCAGAGAACAAAATGAGAATGCTAGTAAGGTCAGTACATACCTTTGATAATAAACATGAAATATATACTATGTGGACATAGATATATATGTGTCTAGATATATAATTTATAGTTATTTGATTTATATTTTTGCTAAATTTAATAGCTGATAGAATTTTTAGTTTGAGTGTTTTTATTTGGAAAGAAACTAGCAATTTAATTAAATTTAAATAAAAGCCAAATTCAGGAAATTATATTACTTCTTAGCAAAAACAAAAGGATATATTTTTCCTTCCTAAATTATTCAAAGTCTATTTCAAAGTTTTTTTTATAAATCACATTAGAGAAAATTTTTATCAAGAAGTAAAGGAAAACTTTTGCAGCTTTACATATGTGGCTATTTAAAGGATACTTGGTATGACTACTTCTATTAAATCACACCCTGATTTTTGAAAAGTAAACGTATAATTTCCTGTGATTTTCTTTGTTTTCTTGAAATACCGATACTTTTCAAAAGCAATGGGAAAAATTTGATTCAGACTGATATGTTTCCTGTGTTTTAGATAATAGACAGCCAACAAGATGAGATTGACAGAATGATTTTAGAAATTCAGGTAAGAAATGTTTTGTGCTTATTTTAATTTAGCTATTTGCCAATTTACTCCTAATGGTTATACAACCTAAAAAGTATTAAAGCATATATGTATTTGTATGAAAAGATTAATAGCACTTGAGATGGCGTTGCAAGTTCTTTAGTGTTAACCTGTCAGTTTTTTGGAACAGAAATGCTATGCAGTAAATCAGTTCTTCAAAAAATTGTGAAGATTGTCTAGTCCTTACTTGTCCTCTTTTTAATTGGCTGTAGTCTGTCTCTACTACTAAGAACACATTTAGTTAAGGTCATCATGATCTAATAAAGACAATGCACTACTTTTATTTATTTTACTTATTACTATAATCATATTTATTAGATAGAAATAAATTTCACAAAACCCTTAGGATTTTCATTTTCTTTCCAAAATGATCTTTGTGGAATTAGTTTATATAGTGAATAGAAACAAGGTGTTGTCCTCATTTCTGTCTGCTCGCTCACCTGCCAGTGGGAAGTCTGACATGGATTATTTTTAGTCCACTGTGACTGCAGAGCCTTCTCCTTCCTAATAATTCTATATATTATTCTTTCTGTATTATCAAAGTATAAGATTTTGTTTACATATTTGTGTCTTTACCCCTTAGTTTCTTGAGGTAGATTATCTATCTACATATCCAGAGTTTACAGAGTATCTGACCCAAAGTTTGTGGATTAAATGGATTTTGTATTCTTTTATTGATTTGCCATATTTACAGAGCACCTTCCTATGTGCCAGGCAGCCAGTTCCTGGCCATTTGTTGAGGTGAGATGGAAAAACAGAAATACAATATCAAGTAGTGATAATAAGAGGCATTAAAAAAAAGAGGGCAGTGACTGTTACATTAGATACAGTGGTCATGAATTTTTACCTGAGGAAATAATATTTAAACAGAGATCTGAATGAATGTAACCAGGGGAAAAGCCTCCCAGGCAAAGAAAACAGTCAGAGCCCTGAAGGTGCCCAGGTCGCTGCAGGATTGGCAGGAAGGCTGCTGTTGGGAATGCAGTGACCGAGAAGCAGAGTGGTGAGAGGTGACAGTATAGAGCGGCCTGGGCCACATAACAGAGAGGCAGAAAAATTTTTAAAAAAATATATTTTATTGATTTCAGAGAGAGGAAGGGAGAGGGGGAGAGAGAGAAACATCGATGATGAGAGAGTCCTTGATGCAGCTGCCTCCTGCACGCCCCCCGCTGGGGATGGAGCCGACTGGGAGTCGGACCTCGGTCGCGTGGATCCTCGGTCAACTGCTGAGCCATTCCGGCTGGGCAGGGCATAGCATTCTTTGTATTTTATTCTAAGTATGGTGGAAAGCCATTGGACAAATTTTACTGAATAAATATTTTTACACCTCCTAATTCTATTATTACTTCTTTAAAATGGGAGTAAAAAAAGAAAAGGTAAATGGTTTGTGTGTCAGAATTATAGACAGCCTCTTTTGATTGTCCTTTGGCCATACTGAATAATTTATCAATTTAATCAAATACCAGCCCCCGTTCGACAAGTGTGTGGTCCTGCTTGATTGATTCGCGGAGGTTATGCTCTTTTGTTTGTATTTCTGCAACTTCAGTTCTGTAAGCCACTTGAATCACAAGATAGTTAGGTTTCCTCAGCCATTATTATTTGATTTATGGACCATAATGAAAAGAATTTCTATGTTACTTGGTAACATTTTCTGAGAAGTAAATGTAATAAAAGTTATCTCAGTCCAAATTAAGGACAGTCAGCATTGTCCTTTGGCTTTGAAATTTTAGTGGATAAGACTTATAAGATTTTCTTTATTTATCACATGCTTTCTCTCACATTATGGATGTTCAGGATATATTTGTATTAGTTAAAATGTGCATTTTCCCCATTTGTTGAGACATTAATAGAATTTAATCTTACACATTAACCAAGTCTTCCAGTCACATTTAGATATGTCATGACCACATGTAAATAGATACGTAGTAGAGTTTTTAATTACATGCCCTTCTATTATCTTAAAATGCTTCAGTAAACATTCTTTTATTTCTTCAAACTAATTTGAGAATGCAAATCAAATTAATGAGATATATTTATCGCCAAATATTTGGGCCCAGACAATACAATATATTCATTAATTCTGTCATCTTGTGAAGCAGTGGCTCTCTCTCTATTTTTTATCTTAGCCTTTTTGGCCAGCTAGATCTGTAGATCTAGTATGTAGTTTGTTCACAGAGACAGACAGCAAATGTTGATAGCTGGCCAACTTAGTTATATTCATCAAGATGTTATTTGGACAGAAAATTCTAGATGGAGACAAATATGCCTCAGATAATGAGATTTTTCACTTTAATGTTACTTATTTAAACTTGTTATTTTTTGATCCCTTCACAGTTGAAAAAGCTGGTTTTTGTTATTTGGTGATTTGTAATGAATATAAAATGTGTTCTCTGTAAAAACCTGAAAGTATTGCCTCTTCTGAAAAAATGAGTACTAATTATTTCTCTAGCACTGAAAACCACAGAGAGAATCCTAAAGAGAACACTTAGGGTTGAAAAAGTATTCTTATTGCTTTGTATTACAGTTAATGGGATATTATCAAGTTGATACACATAATAGAGCAGTTCCCTTCAAGTACTAATTCTTTCAAGCTTCCTCGTTTTTTCTCGTTTGCTTACATGAAGAATGGCCAGCCTTACACCTACGTAGATTATGATGTCTGTTCATATGCTGTAGCTGTTTTTATAATTTCTTCTGATTTGCATAGCTAAAATAACACAAAATACTTTACAATTTAGGATAGTGGAGAGCTTCCCAACCATTTTCTAACATGTGTTGTACATTTTTGCTCTTAGTATAGTGTTAACTTTATTTAAAACTAAATGCTAAGATTTCACTGCCATTACAGTTTGCATGTCCTTTGTTCCTCCATAGCACTGGGAAGTTGTTCTATTTTAGGATAGTAGTTGAGTAGACAAAGCAAACTCAGTATTAGTAGAATTTCATGTTTTACTGCTTTCTTTTCACTGCAGACTATTGAGGAGACCAAGTTTACTAAGTTTATTTGGCTGATTTAGAGTATTACATTGCCTTAAGTACAAGCAGGTTATTCTTACAGTTTAACTTTTATGACAAGAGAGAAATAAAATCCTTTGCCCTGTTCATTTTATGTCCAATTTATAGGAGATAAAAATAAGGTAGTTACAGAGTGAAAATGCTATATTTAAAATACACCATTAGTGGTTTACCACCTTGCACCAGAAGTCAAATAAATATTTATCTGCTTTAAGTCGGTGGCAAGTTGATTTCGTCACAGTTTTGAAAGTGGTATTGTATTTATTGTTGAATATAGAGAAAGCAATACTTCATGTAAAAGTATATGCTGATTTTGAAATTGAGTGCTATAAAAATACATAAAGATTTATCTATTATTTTGTTCAGCTGTCAAAATTATATTGTTAACTAGCATGAAAATCTTGTTTACTCATTGATCCTTTAGAAAGATTGCCTTTCTTTGCATCCATGAAACCAGCATGGCTAACCTGGCTTCTCCTGTAGTTTTCTTCTCAATGTACAATATAAAAAGATATTTTGTAGTAAATGTTTCCCATCATTTCCATAAATGTGGCTGCAGTCAAAAAGTGAATGAGTTCTTTACTAGGCATTACCTTCCTTCCCGTTTGTTCCTCAAGAGTGCATTTCGCCCGGCCGGGCGTGGCTCAGCGGTTGAGCGTCGACCTAGGATCCAGGCGATCAGGGTTCGATTCCCGGTCAGGGCACATGCCCGGGTTGCGGGCTGCAGCCGACCAATGACTCTCTCATCACTGATGTTTCTCTCTCTCTCCCTCTCCTTTCCTCTCTCTGAAATCAATAAAGATATATTTAAAAAAAAAAAAAAAAAG